CCATTGCACCTTCTGGCCAAGTTGATGATTCCAATTATACTATGTGGCGGTTTTTTTAAATTTCAGTTCTCCAGATGTCATCATTCACGACACTATCATAAATTTTTGAGGTCTATTGTTTAGACGTTTTGTGATAGCTAGAATTACCCATATCCAGACTTTATGCGACTTGCAGCCACAATATCCAACAAAATATTCTTTAATGATGGTCAGGTATTTAAATTATTAAAGAATTAAGCTAAATCAACGAAAACTGTGTTGATGATATTCATCTGTGGGGGAGACCGGCAGTCTGGAAATGCAATTAATATGGAGTATCAAATTACTATTTACGGGAATTTCGGAGAGTAATTTCGAAGCACTAAAACAGTAAAAGGCATTGAAAACAGACAACAAACCACAAGTGTCAGTGAATAAGAAGCAGTGAATAATCTACCATTTCTTTTCTATTTACCATTTGGTGAGTTTCTTTAGAGTGATACAAAATAATTCAAATCAGTAGAAAATAAAATTAATGCAGTATAGCGCGGCTATTAATTCTCATGAAAACCGCTTGAAGCACCGAGTTGAAAGCTTAATAAAGTTTGTTATCAATCAGGAAATGTTCACAACACAATACGTAATATATGTATCAGCGCTGTATGCTTGTCTCGGTGTGTGCTAAAACTGGACGAATTCAGAACAATAAGGCATAAGCAAGTTTGTCTGGCTCCATTTGTTCACACTGTGTACAATCAAAATCAGGTCATAGCAATGGATGATCTCATTTTGGTCATACTGGATGCCGTATAAAGTACATTGTTTGAATTATTTTCGGATCTCTCCGAGGTTGCGTTACCCTGTACCGGATAGCTTTCGGTAGCGACGTGAAAAACATGAGGACTGTAAGTCTTTGACTTAATTACCTGTAGCCGGTATTTGCTGTACAATATTTAATTTATTTTTGAACACTCAAGAAATAAAGATTATGTCATTGTATTCTACCGTATTATAAATAGTTGGAAGTCCCACATGCAGGACAGAATGAATTTGGAACAATATTCAGATTTGGCTGATTTTGCCTTTCAATTTCACACCGGCAAGATGATGAAAATGCATGAAACCGGGCATGAAACTGGATAAAGTCGAGCAGAGCTAATAATCGTACAAATTCCCCTGGAAACAAATATGGAAGCAGGCGAGGTGGTGGGCGGTTTCGAATTTGCCCAATCTCGCCTGAACATCATCTCATTAAGATGTGGTATCAAGCAAATTTTACTGTATAGTACAATCTCCATTTTGGTCTTGATATCATTTGTCTCTTTCCCATGTGAATTCAGATCCCAGCCATTTAGCACGCTTAGAAATGATATACGCTTATCGTATTTTTTCTCTTCATATAGGTCGATTTCCTTAGAAAGATGGGGTATATTTCTACGATCTTCATTTTAACTGCTCTTATTTTTGCACCACATTCCTGTGAGGGTAAGTTATCATAAAGCATTATTTCATAACAGTCAGTTGAATAGATTTCTTGATTACTAATTAATATTTGGGTGCGTGGTGAGTGATTGCGCTTATTATATGGATTGACGGTGATATACTGTAGTGCACACCGCACAGCACCACACTGCATGCACACCACATGTACATTGCAACTCAGATGCGATTCTCCCTCTTGTGTTGTGCCACTGCCGTCGTAACATGTCTATCTTGCGGAGACACAATAGCGCAGTAGGCCGCATCGTTAACCGCGCTGTTTGTTCAACGTGGAACTATCACCAATGACCAACAAGTTCAATTCGTGCCGCCAATTATCGTGTTTATCCTGAAATAATAGTCAGAGAAGATAACAAAGTTCTAACTAGAAAATACATGCATGCAGAAACCCTCGCCTTGCTGACAAAACCATTTTATTTTCCGAACGTGAAGTATTTTAAGTAGTTGTCATGGTAACACGATAACTTTTTAAGAATATTTTTACAAATGAAAAATCCCCTATAAATATCACTTCTAATTACAAAATTATCAATTTCCTAAACATATATATGTTAGGTATGTTATTATACGTAATATAAGCTTGAATTTAAGGTAAAATTCAACCACAAACGCTTCACAAAACGTTTTAAAATGTTCTTTTACTATAGAACTAAACTGCCTTTATCGATAAACTTTGAGTTCGAAATAAAATGATTCCAAATTCTCCCATGCAAATAACTTTGCTTAGTATAATAAAAAGTGTAATCAATAAAGAAACACTGAAATAATACGCTGTCTTGTTTCATATTTATACACAACGAGCGGCTTTTAAAGTAATTACAGTAGGTATGTTATTATACGTAATATAAGCTTCAATTTAAGGGCCTTTAAGGTAAAATTCAACCACAAACGCTTCGCAAAACGTTTGAAAGTGTTCTTTTAATATAGAACTAAACTGCCTTTATCGATAAACTTTGAGTTCGAAATAAAATGATTCCAAATTCTCCCATGTAAATAACTTTGCTTAGTATAATAAAAAGTGTAATCAATAAAGAAACACTGAAATAATACGCTGTCTTGTTTCATATTTTATATACGCAACGATCGGCTTTTAAAGTAATTACAGCCGAGATTACAGTATATTAAAAGCAAACAATGCATCAATATTTAAAACAAACTTACCTTCGTTAACGTCGGCACCTTTACTTCCTTCTTTTAGCAATCCTCTTGCCTTTATTTTATCAAAAATCCTTTGCAATTTACAAAATCTTGCAAAAATGAAATATACTTGCAAGAAATCATCAAATCAATTTCGATGTCGTCAATCGTCATGCAGCCGTTATAATGCCAATTTTAAATTGGACCAATCAGTGTTGGCTATTCATTACAGTCCGCTATATTATGAGATCAGTGAGGATGACCACCCACCGAAACACGCACAGTGACCCACGCCCGCGATATTTGATGAACTTTAGACTTGGCTAATGCTTCCCTTCCCCGGGTGTAAATAGCCGGGGGGAATTAGTACCCTCGCACGGCGCTTCGCGCCGTCGGCTCGGGGATTATTGATGTCTGACCTCCACTTCGATAATCAAATGCTGAAGCATTCCGTGACGCTGAACAACGGAAACTTAATGGCTGAAGCAATTTTTCGAAAGCAAGGAAACGGAAAGCAATGCGAGGTCTTCGGTTTTGTGATCGGCGTCCTTGGTTCTTGGCATTCTGCCAATGAAAATGTGAATTTAAAGAATTTGTGAATTTAATTTATTTTTGAATTGGTGAATTTAATTTATTTTTGAATTTGTGAATTTAATTTGTTTTTTAAAAAGTTCACATGAAGTAATTCAAGTTTGTCTTCTAATTTTATCAGCTCTACTACGAGAGAGAGAGAGAGAGAGATTTTCTGAGTGCTTAATAGTCCAGCTGTTAACGACCAAAAAAATGTTGAATTGTTCACTTTGTTGATAAAAGCATGAAACTTTGCCACATTACTAACATCCCTAGTACTAACATTTTTGGATATGGAGCCAGCCCAAATTCACTTATGCTGACGAGTAATGCGCATGTCATAAAATACTAAACATGGAAACGAGGCTGCTTCAATAACCCCAGTTTGAACCCTTTCTTTAAAGATTTTTTTTCAGAAATGCTTCTCATATTAATATATCAGCCATGTTCTTCACTCAGAAATGTAAAGTATTGTCACGTGACCTATTTCCTGGAAATTAAACAAATACACGTAGTGCATGCCTGGGATACCTGTGGCAAGCTTGAAAATGCGTAGTTTTAATTTTTTAAAGATCGAATTGGGTCCTTTAAATATTTTGGGAGTAACCCCAAGTAAAAATATAAGACAAGGGCAAAACAACTACAAGTTACTATATTGCTCAACACTGCGCATGCGTTGAAATGTTGCAAATGGAAATAGAGACAAATCGGTAAAATGAAGCAAATTTGTCGAATGAAATTAATACAACATACTATACATAGTTATATTTGCACATCACTATTTTTCTTGCGGTCTCTCTGTCAAATTCATCATTATATCACCATCATATCTTTATCAAGTTCATTAATTGACTTTACAGCAGTTTTACGTGATACACGACCACCTCACGCAAAAAGGTTGAGAGTAATAGTTGTTTTTGACATTCAGGCGCGGTCACTAATTCCACAGAATTCAGTATTAGAAACGTCAACAACTGAACAAGGCCCAGCTACGTATTTTACATATTTATAGAATAATAAGTCGTCAAAATATATAATTTTTAGATTCGTCAAATAAATAGTAAATAATTGCTAGAATACTGTCTTAAGTTGAGAACTGAAATTCATTTACCTCCACTACAAGATGCACTTATCTTTATGTGTTAGTTTGAATGTGATTTGAGCATGTTTTCGTTTAAAATCTTCAGGCATAACAGAGTGTCTCAAAGTGTACAGGTAAAGGTAAATGATTTTTTTCTGAATGTAATTATTTGACGAATTGGATATTAAATACATATATTTTAACGACTTATTATTGTATAAATAGCGACGATGTGATCTGTTGACGTTTCTGATATTGAATTAGTGACCGCGCCTGAATGTCAAAAACAACTATTGCTCTCAACCTTTTTGCGTGAGGTGGTCGCGTATCACGTGATACTGCTGTAATGCCATTTACAACAATAGCGGACAGCATTAAACATGACTCAACTAATATCTTAGGCCTGTTTTATACGTCGAATTTCGGTCGCGTCGAATGCAATTCAAACAATAGATAATGAATCTTAATGAGGTTTATCATCTCATTATCTATTGTCTTAATTGCATTCGACGCAACCGAAATTCGACTTATAAAACAGGCCTAAGTTTGATATCCACTGTACAATATTCACCATATGGCTAAAAAAGTGGCCAAACAACCATTCATAAAACTCGATAATCTGAATGCTCATAATTTTAGCTCTTTCTCTAATCCTAATAGTTCTCATAGAAAATAGAGGTGTGCTTTTGGCTCGCCTTTTTAGCCATCCCAAGACTATATTTGCTCACAATTTCTACTTACAATTGCCGCCACAATTGCACAAACCTGTGCATGTCAAATTAGCTTTCATGCACTTGCAGCGTCCTCTACATGCGGTTTTACAACCGCATCGAATAAGTTCGTAGCACGTATCTTTCGCTTGTGGAAGTGTCGTCCAGTATGGGACCCAGGAACTGCCGTCACGCTGCCACCCCCAGTCAGCAGGAGATGGTAATACTGGATTCTTCACGAGAGTCTGAGACCATATGTATCCACCTTGAAATACTGCTCTCTTTGCGTGTTGTAAGAGCGCTGCTCGAGTGGGTGGAATACTATCTAGACTTCTTGATTTCTTTGAGAATAACTCTTGCCTCACTTCGTTTACACTTTTAAGGCTGCTTGTTCGATCGTAGAGCAGAACTACAAACATCTCTATTATTGCCATGCACTCTTCGTTGATGTCTTCAGGTGATGCTGCCAGCGCTTCGAGTACAGGTGTTAGTTCGGGAAAAACGTTCCATACATCCCACGCGGTCTTCTTTCCTCGTCCACCAAAAAATGACACTGTGTCGCATCCAGTTATGGAGTGAAACATCGGTAGCGCTGACGCTTTCTCTCGACCTAGCGACGCGGCTATGGAATGTGTAGGAATGTTGCGTAGATGCTTTCCGGTGCCGTATGCGATCCACAGCTCATCAACGGAAATACTGCTAGCTACTGAAATTGCTAACACAACTACATCGGTATCATTGCTTCTGATCTGTATTCGATGATGGCCGCACAAGGAGCATCCAAGGCATGTACCATTAAGCGAGTGTCTGCCTCTTCATGGGAGCAGGTATTATTATTACCATGTTAGCAAGTAGCTTGAAAAGTTCATCCTTGTTGTCATTGACACGCATAAATCCTTTCCAGTCCGAGGGGATTCGCGTTTTAGGAAGAACTTTCCGTCGTTGTCCACTGCCTCTCTTTTCCTGAGCAGATCTCTTCAATGTGTCTTCTCGATACACATCCCACACTAGGTCGACTCTATTCACTGCATCAAGTTGTCTCAGGATATAAGGGGCGAACACAGTATTGAAATACTCCTCAAATGTTTCTGCCATTCGTGGTTTTAACATCTGGACAATAACGGCTCCGTCAAGAATGCTGCATCCACGGTTAGTTGTTCCACGGTCTGTGTTGTAGTGTCGTGCAAGCATTTCACCAGATCTGCCTTCTGCCCCCCTCTGAGATTGCCGGCTTGAGAGAGTGATGTAGGCCACGGCTGATTTTCGAACCTGAAAAAATCCTGCAGATTTCCATCTCGGCTTTGACAAGCTATGTAAAGCCTAGAAAACAGAGCACAGTCCTCCTTCAAGACCGCTACTTTGGCTTTAGTTTTGGACATGACCTTAGTGTTTGGAGTGCTGAATGTAGGCAGTTTATTTTTCTTCAGAGGCTCTGTAATTGGCGTACTCCGGTCGGTAAACCGCTCTTTCACGAAGGTTCAGAACTGCTCCTTTCCAAGCTTTTTCACGTTGCGCACCGTGTCGACAACATCATTACTCATGATGTCCTTTGTGTGGATTGCTATGAGCTCCTCGCCCTGTTCCATAAATGGATTTCCTAATTCTTCAAAGGAAGAGATCACATTCAAAACATCTTTGGCGAACGCGCTCTGGACGCCAGGTGACTGCTCATGGTGGTTGTGTGAATCAGAATTAGAGACGTTGCATTCAAATTCCTCCACCATTCTTGTTACCTCTGGTCCTGCGACCATCCATCTTCTGAGGGCTGCAGGGTTTTCCGTGAGTCCAACAGCACCTCCGTCGCCTTTGACTACGGCATTCACTTGTTCGTGTGCGTGGTCCAGCGCTATGGAAGAAAACGACCTCCTCGTCTGATGAACTACAAAACAACCTCTCGTGAATTGTGTGTAGACCTCTGGATGTCGGACTGCAAGCTCGCACATATCTCGATAGTGGACAGATAGCCATCTGGCGTAGTTGGGATGGTCCATTGCAAACATCCATGGTAAAATCTGCTTGATGGCGTTGACGTACAGAGTAAAGTTGGCTTCTCTAAACGCTCTCACAAGCTGAAAAACGCAGAGCTGCAACTCCAATACTCCAGACCAATACAAAAACTGGGGACATTTCTCGGACATCTCTTCTCTCCATTCATGAAAAGATTTGAGCTGATCATTCTCTTCAACATTAAGAGTGTATTCATCGTATCCTTTCACCATGAGCAAATGTAGACTGACTGCTGTAACTTGGTGTGCTCGTCGCGTTCGAGTTAGATGACTTGCTGCAAGGAATGAATTAGCTACGCCTTGTGTAGCCACACCTGCATTGCAGAGAGCCTCTGCCCATCCGCTACCGTTGAGCCACTTTCCGAGCATCTTGAAGGCCGCCATTTCTATGTGAAGTCCACCAAGCATGATGACAAATTGATCTTCATTGAATATTTCATTGAACGTCCACTGAATTTGTTTGGCGAGAGCAAACAGTGGCTGATCTACTGCAACAACTGCGATTTGTGTAGGATTGCCTGATTTACAGCTGCTTTGATCACATTCAATGAATGTGCTATCATAGCGACGGAGTGGGCGTTCTCTATAAACATCGGTAATAGTGAAATGATGGCTGGCTCGTGACTCGACAACATGGATTTTGAAGCACGATATGCCGCACATGATACGAAATCATCTTTCTGCAATTTTTCTTTAGAGAGAAGTTGCAGAGTATTCTCCAGCCAATCTTGTTCAGGATAGGGTTCACTACTATTTAGCATCACTTGAGGATCTATCGCCAGCTGTCCTTTAGATTCCGGTGCGTAAAAGTCACTGGGGTGCAGGTACATTGGTGGTACTTGACTGTAACTCGGTGGTAGTTGGGCTATCTTTTTCGACACGGAACTTTTTGTTGGGTCAAAGATGTCAACGGCTCTATCAATTCCTGGTTCTTCCATTGTTGGGTGTTGGACCAATGAAATTGCGGTGCCATGGAATGAATCATGCGAACTCGTTGAGCTTGGATTGTGGTCGATGTTATCAACTGCTGCAGTAGTGAACAGTCCCTCTTTAAGTTTAGACGGGCATACGACTCCTTCCCTTTCGTACCGATTTATAACACTATTGGTAATTTCAGTAGATACAGAAAGTAGCCGATCGTACGAAATAGACATCCCCAACTTGTAAAATAGATCTACAAGAGATCTATCCCTCGTTGCTCCATGAATTTTCAGTGCTGTATAAATTGGTAGTGGAGTTTCTCTAGATCTTATATGACGAGATTTTTCTGTAGACTCATTTCGACTTCGTGCGATGCTGCTGAACATGATTAACTGAGCAATTGTCAGACATGCCTGACTGCCCACCGGCAACGCGTCTATCTTGGCAGTTGGACCTTTGATAATCATGCCTATTAAAGTTTTAAGGGAAGGCGGGATGGCATCGTTTTGACATTCTGGGGCAAATGTACCGTCAAAAAAGTTATGTATTTGTAGAATGTCTCTTCTTATAATATTTGCAGCTTTAGCCAGATGACATGCTTCTGAATCATTCTTG